CGTAGGACATTTATAAGCGATCAATTGTGAATTGTAAGCAATGTTAATAAAGTTTGTCTTAAAGAAACAATATGATTTCACTAAAAATCAATTTCTGCCCCTTCCTATTTTCATTTCCACATTACGAATTTTCACTTCTTCCGCGCGGAGGGACTCCACGCACTATTTTTTTTTTTGTTTTCTTTTTATTTACGAAAATGCCAAACAGAAAAGCGCGTCACTAAAAATTCCTGGATTGGAAAATCGCCACCCGGAAGTACTAAGGCAATGAATGAAAATACTAATTATTAAACATACTTACAAATTTAATGCAGAAAGGTTTTTTAAAAAAAAAAAAAAAAAAAAAAAAAAAAAAAAAANAAAAAAAAAAAAAAGAAAAGAAAAGAAAAAAGAATCTTCTCACACTTTTTTCAGTAAAGTTAGAGGTGGATAATAGATATATATGTATAAACTGTTTATTTTTCGGCCTTCTACATAAACAAAATAAATAGCTTTATTCAAGTGATATCTCAATCCAAACATTTATCTGTACAATAAATTTATTTGCGTTCCCCATTTCCCACGCGTGTTTGACCAACATATTTTTTTATTTCACTCTAATCCCTTAGAGATCGGAACAAATATATCGTTTAGGCTTAGTTTTATTTTCGCATTAGTTGCCATTTTGAAAAAGAGAAAAAACCGGAAGCTGTTAAAAGAAAATAATCCGTCGAATCATATCTTTTATTCTTACTTTCACCTCCGTCATAGTGGGTGTTAGGTAAGAGAAATCTAAAAAAAAGCTTTAGAGTTCTTGAAAGCTTTTACACTATTGTCCATTTGAAGTCGTCCAATCCCCTCCCGACTGTCTTTTGTTGGGTGCAAACGATTTCTAAGCTATCTTCTGAACGGATTTTACAAGATTTTTTTTTCTTTCGCTGGCAGCGTGAGTCTGATGGCTATATTAAATATTGATGTTTTTTAGTGATTTCTTATTTGCTGCTAAGTAATGTAATGTAGCTTATATATTTTATCACTTCCCTTTTTTTAAATTAACAAATTTACTTTAAAAAAAAATAATTAAAATTTAGAAGGTTGATTATTTAGAGTTCCGCAGACGAAAAAATATTGGGAACAGCTGAAATA